GTCAAGAAAATTGATGTATCGGTCAACAGTACAAGTCTAAAAAGTGAAATTGCGCTATTGAACTTTGCAAAACACAAGCACATTGTTACTTTGTATGRTGTCAAATTCATTGGCTCCCAAGCCCTTATCCTTATGGAGTACTGCTCTGGTGGAAACCTCAATAGCCGTTTAGCCAAGGGAAACATCACCGAAAGCCTCAAACTACGATGGATGAGCGAGCTGGCCGACGCCACACGTTTCCTTCACTCACAAAACATCGTCCATCGTGATTTAAAACCAGAAAATGTCCTTCTGACGTCGAAAGATTCGATCAAGTTGGGCGATTTTGGTCTCGCAAGAGTATATACAGCGGCCTCAATTGCTTCAGGTCAAGCTTCCTCAATGAATTGCTACATGGGACTATTAGCGGGCACAAGAGATTGGATGGCGCCTGAAGTTTTCCTTGGCCACTATACGGAAAAAGCAGACATTTTYTCTCTCGGCGCCATCTTCTACACTATTCAAACCCTTAGCTGTCAAATGAACCCGCGAGGCGAGAAACATTTCTTGGGGTTTGTCGTTCATGGTGCAAAAAAGCTTGGCTTTGGGGAAGCACTACTGTCGAATCTRATGCTTCCTTTTGGCAACATGCCTCCAGGGTCAAGAAAAGAGCTGATTCAAGCTATGCTTTGTATCAACTACAAACAGCGGCCCAGTGCCGAACAAATTTACAGTATCATTCAAGGTATCAATGTTGAAGAACAGTTGACAACATCATTAGCTAACCTCTTGCAGGGCTATTTATTTCCTTAGCCTTCATCGGAGTCGACTACGAAGTGATACTTAGTTCGGTTTCTAAAGTACATCATTTTAATATATCTGACATTAAAATGCAAGTTCTTTTCATTAAATATTGCAATGAGAAGGATAGCAAGTACGGTTTGAAATGAAGTTGATTTCGTATTTGTGAATTTGCTGAATGAATTCAGTATGACCTTTTACTTTTCGATATGTTTACTTTAGAGTCCTAGACTGTTTTGATTATTGTAGTTACATGTAGTTTCATGCGTGGCAAACCCTCTTGTAGTTAAGCCCACTATACTATAGTCTTCTATTTGACAAGCCAGATGTTAGATTTAGGCCAAGAGAAAGTTGAAAAAAAGAAAGAAAAAGAGATGCAGTTATAGGTCTATAAAAAAACGTTATAAGAAGAACTGACTTCAGACCCTCCAAACACTTTCTGATTCAGGGCCGTAGCCAGAAGATTTATCGGGGGGGGGGGGAGCACATCAAATAGAAAACGGACCTATGAGTAACATTGCGACTCTTTTTCGTGATTAAATAACTTTTTGGTGATAAAAGCGGACTTTTTTGCATGTGCACCCTGTGCTCCCCCCTAGCTACGGGCCTGTGATTATACTTAATTGTCGTCTATGTCTTTCTCAGCCTTAGCTATGTTGACTTGTTTATGAAACGAGCTATTAGTGTAGTTTATAAATAGCTACTTAATGTAATCGAGAATGATAGAAATAAACATACAGCAGTCCATGTTTTACATGAGCTACATGTAGTCAGGATACGAATATTCTAAGAGACTGTGCAATATTAGATTATTGGGAGTGGGAGTTCAAAGGTACGGTAACTAGKCCTCTCCCTGTAAATATGAAATCACCCCCCCCCCTTTCTAAATATTAAAATAACTTGTAACTTCTTCCCCACCCCCACCCCCCCTCGAGGTAAAATAAGTACTAACGTCACTCCCCCTTTATATCAGTAGATCTGACCAAACCGCTCTATACTTAACAGTATTTTTTTATCAAAAAACAAACGTCTGGTAGTTATAAAAAGTTTTATTAAAACGCTTTTTTTGACGTTTCAAAGAAGCAGTTTTTTGAAGTTTAATGCTAACCTTAATCTACTAAGTTTATTTCACGTTTTTTGGTGGGATGCTCTAGTTGTTTCATAACAATCGAGAAGCTCCAGTGAAACCTGAAAATCGTCTGCGTWCGAGGCTAACTACGACATAGTGTCCACAGTGTTCCTGCATATATTTACAATCTTTTCTTTTAAGTTTATCTTTTCAACARTTGTTTTTAGACATCATCTCCCTGAAAGGAAAATTTGCATTACTGAAAGAGCCAAATTTGCACCAAAAAAAGATTAATAGTACGCTAAGCTGTATTTTATGGGTAGATGAGGTCCAGTCTGTGTTAGTAATACCATACTAGTCGACTATTGCAAATTTGCAAATCCTACGTTCTCATTGGATACGCTACTCAGGGTCTATTTTCAATAGTCATCGACTAGTGAAAAGCAACAATTTTGATTTTCTTTAAAAAATAACATGCCAAGCCGTGTCAAACGACGTCGGAGGTAATTTATGCAAATGTAATTAAAGCCGTAAGTGCGAATTATTAGCAATAAAAACTTTTGTTATTTATATATTTCATCCATTTTTTGTCCAACTAGTATGGTAATACATGTAATAAGACAATTAGATCTCTGGGCCTCGTGGACGACGAACTGATAGCTCATTCGGCCTTCGGCCTCATGGGCTATCACCTCTTAGTCCACTCGACCTCGATGTCTAACTGTTAAGTATACAAAACAAGTATTATAATTACCATATAGTCCCGACTAGTGATGCGTTTTCTTATAGTAGGCGTGCCATATAAGGTAACAATCGTTTCACTTGGTGTATCAAAACCTCCTGGTGTACCAATACATCCCGAGGGGGTCTGTAGTGGRGTGTTGTTGGTCTTGGTTCTCTTGCGGCGGAATGGTGATATACCCAWACTTCCAGTRGTACTAGTACGTCTATGTCGAGACTTTGAACCTGGCATYATAAAAGTCWATTTTACTACACT